TGAGTTGAAACACACTTATTTATAGAGCAATGTGGATGCCTCAACTCCAACACAGCTTGAAGCACCATTTGAGGCTACTGTTCCTCTCCTTGATTAAACCATTAAAAACATGTACTCTTTTGCTTCCATTTCTTCCTTTCCTTCTCTCCCTCCTACTTCCTTGCCATCGGCGCCATGTCTTGCCATATCCGGTGGAGGAACATGGCATTGCTCGCTATACCATGTTACATGGGCCAAGACAATCGAGATTGAGCCACCCACATCATGTGATTGGTGTAGAGTGGTGTGATCTCCTATCACCACACGCCAATACATCATTAGGACGATCCATTCGTGTTAGTATCAATATTGACCAAGACCTTAAACCATGCATGGAAGATGAAAGAACAATCAAATTGCCAAAATCGCATGCCATGAATGGAGGAGATGAAAATTATAGTTATGGTCAAAACTCATCTTATCAGGTAATATTTGTTTTTTATTTAATTTTCACTATAATTATCTCTCATTCGAAAGGGTGGGGTGGAATAGGGAGTGCAAGTTTACATAGGCCCCAAGTAAGTACTAACCAATTAGTTGCAGCGGTATGGTACAAGGCAATCGGGACAAAAAAAAATGATAGACAGAATAAAATATTGAGCATAGAATGAAATTTAAAAATCATAAAACTGTATCCGAACGAGTTATGATGGCATAGATGGCTCAGCCATCTACAACGTCTTGAGTCAAGCACGAATCTCACTTGACCCATAATTAGATCGAATATTAAACGTAACATATTCAGTCCAATACAACTAGATATCCATAAGTGATAGACATGCACTTAATGTATGCTTACTAACAACCAGGATTGACTTTGTGGGACGGCTCAGGGAAAACATAAATTCAGTATCTTTCTTCTTTTTAAATGGACACACTTGTGATTAGATAGCTACTACGAAAAAGCCAGCTCTTCAATTTTTCTTTAGTGCTGGTAAAAGTTTTAGATTTACACAATATTTTTTAGATTTAATTAGGGTAATTTGGTATTTTAATTTAGTCGTTTAAACGACTAAATTAAATTATAATAAAAAATTTAATTTTATACTAATTACAATTTTTTTTTAACAAAAATTATTTTTTTTAATTTTATTTCAATAAAAGATACAATAAAACATGAATTTTAGTTGTAAAATTAAAATATTTTATATTTTATATTTGATTGGAGTATTTTTGGCATAAGTATAATATTTTAAACTTAAAAGATCTAAGTATTATATACCCACAAACTTTAAAAAAGTTTAAGTGTAATTTATTAACGAATATATTTATAATAGTGTCTAAGTGTTATACGCATACAAATCTCAGGGGTCTGTATATAATATTTCAAATATCAGAAGATCTGAATAATTAAATGACAAAATCTCGCGAGGTTTGGGGTAATTCTCTCTGGGATCTAATTGGCACTCGTAAATTATTTAGTGAATCCGACTATTATGGACCTAATTTTTTTTTTCGGAGGGGGGCAGTGGATGCTGCAAAGGAATCATCAACGAAGGAGTTGCATCCAAACTTGACCTGAAACTACTTTCTTCATCTTCCACCATAAACCCATTTCGCATAGCAGATTTTGGTTGTTCCACAGGACCCAATACGCTTCTAGCAATGCAGATCATAGTTGAAGCAGAGGAGCAAAAATTCAAATCAGAAAAACCAACAACCAACTCAGGTTTTCTTCAGTGACCAGGTTTTGAATGATTTCAACACCCTTTTCAATCTCTCCCACCGGAAAGACGATACCATGCTACCGGACATTCCGGGAGTCCGGTAGCATGGTATCGTCTTTCCGGTGGGAGAGATGAAAAAGGGTGTTGAAATCATTCAAAACCTGGTCACTGAAGAAAAACCTGAGTTGGTTGTTGGTTTTTCTGATTTGAATTTTTGCTCCTCTGCTTCAACTATGATCTGCATTGCTAGAAGCGTATTGGGTCCTGTGGAAACAACCAAAATCTGCTATGCGAAATGGGTTTATGGTGGAAGATGAAGAAAGTAGTTTCAGGTCAAGTTTGGATGCAACTCCTTCGTGATGAGTTCCTTTGCAGCATCCACTGCCCCCTCCGAAAAAAAAAAAATTAGGTCCATAATAGTCGGATTCACTAAATAATTTACGAGTGCCAATTAGATCCCAGAGAGAATTACCCCAAACCTCGCGAGATTTTGTCATTTAATTATTCAGATCTTCTGATATTTGAAATATTATATACAGACCCTGAGATTTGTATGCGTATAACACTTAGACACTATTATAAATATATTCGTTAATAAAATTACACTTAAACTTTTTAAAGTTTGTGGGTATATAATACTTAGATCTTTTAAGTTTAAAATATTATACTTATGCCAAAAATACTCCAATCAAATATAAAATATAAAATATTTTAAATTTTACAACTAAAATTCATGTTTTATTGTATCTTTTATTGAAATAAAATTAAAAAAAAATAATTTTTGTTAAAAAAAAAATTGTAATTAGTATAAAATTAAATTTTTTATTATAATTTAATTTAGTCGTTTAAACGACTAAATTAAAATACCAAATTACCCTAATTAAATCTAAAAAATATTGTGTAAATCTAAAACTTTTACCAGCACTAAAGAAAAATTGAAGAGCTGGCTTTTCGTAGTAGCTATCTAATCACAAGTGTGTCCATTTAAAAAGAAGAAAGATACTGAATTTATGTTTTCCCTGAGCCGTCCACAAAGTCAATCCTGGTTGTTAGTAAGCATACATTAAGTGCATGTCTATCACTTATGGATATCTAGTTGTATTGGACTGAATATGTTACGTTTAATATTCGATCTAAATTATGGGTCAAGTGAGATTCGTGCTTGACTCAAGACGTTGTAGATGGCTGAGCCATCTATGCCATCATAACTCGTTCGGATACAGTTTTATGATTTTTAAATTTCATTCTATGCTCAATATTTTATTCTGTCTATCATTTTTTTTTGTCCCGATTGCCTTGTACCATACCGCTGCAACTAATTGGTTAGTACTTACTTGGGGGCCTATGTAAACTTGCACTCCCTATTCCACCCCACCCTTTCGAATGAGAGATAATTATAGTGAAAATTAAAATAAAAAACAAATATTACCTGATAAGATGAGTTTTGACCATAACTATAATTTTCATCTCCTCCATTCATGGCATGCGATTTGGCAATTTGATTGTTCTTTCATCTTCCATGCATGGTTTAAGGTCTTGGTCAATATTGATACTAACACGAATGGATCGTCCTAATGATGTATTGGCGTGTGGTGATAGGAGATCACACCACTCTACACCAATCACATGATGTGGGTGGCTCAATCTCGATTGTCTTGGCCCATGTAACATGGTATAGCGAGCAATGCCATGTTCCTCCACCGGATATGCAAGACATGGCGGCCGATGGCAAGGGAAGTAGGAGGGAGAGAAGGAAAAGAAGAAATGGAAGCAAAAGAGTACATGTTTTTAATGGTTTAATCAAGGAGAGGAACAGTAGCCTCAAATGGTGCTTCAAGCTGTGTTGGAGTTGAGGCATCCACATTGCTCTATAAAATAAGTGTGTTTCAACTCAAAAAACTATCTAA